AATTTTTCTGGACTCCTTTTTAATGGTTATATTAAATTTTATTAATCAAAAAACATTTCTAATTAATTAAAATCATGAAACGTAAACAATTTGACATCAATTTATCAAAAGTTTAACAAAAATTACATGTTTAGGGCCCTATGAAATTTTTATTTTTTCCAACCTTATGTTTTATTGTTACCAAATTCTGTGTTTTAACATGACTAATTATTTGAAACAAATGTTCTTATGTTTAACAGCTGAAGTTGAACACAATAATATCACCACTGCTAAAAATATCAAAGCTTAAGAATCACTGACCTCACTAATCGAGTAGTTGGATGTTCAGATGATCGTAAATCATCCCTAGCCGGAACAGATTAAAGAAATCGTAGATTAGCTGTTTTTCATCACACAGAGCATTGCAATGCCCGTTTATCAGTGTTGGATGCCCTTTGGTTTGGGAGACGACCAGAGTGCATTAATGAAATGAGTCAGCCCAGTGCTTCAGTGCCAAAGGCGGCCTGTGACACAGAGAGAGAGAGCGAGTGTGTGTCTACAATGAGAGTAAACGCTACCAGGCTCTGAGTATGGAACAGTGCTTTAGACAAACATCAGCGTCCCATAAATCCACAACCCTCTCTAAAGGGAGCAGGTTCTGTTGTTGCCTGTTTGGATTTATGACCCAGGCGTGGATGTGGGCTTTGGGAGTGTGTGTAAGACATGGAAGATGAACTAGACCTCTTAGATGTTGGTGTGTCATGTTGTTTCATACACCACAGATCTGATCCCCCCCTCCTCATATCCCAGGGAGAAGAGGGGGTGGATGGATGGATGCAAGGGGCATTTTAAGGGTTTCTATGTACATGCACAGGGCAGATGTCTGCTCAGTGCATGCTGGCAGGTGTGTCAGAGTTTGCATGATAGTTTTCATGCAAAGATAATATGAGTGGGCTCTAATGGCTGCAATGTTTCTCTCCTCTTTTTTTTCTTTTTTCCATTGTGTCTTCTTTTCTGCAACACCATCAGAGGCCAACAGCATCCCAGGTGAGTTGATAATGTCCTTAAGGCTGAATTGAAGCTGTCTTTTATAGGCGGTGAAAGCATTAATGATGTAGAGTGCATATGTTATTCAAATGTACAGTAATATAAACGTATATTTTCAAACATGCTATTGCTCTCTTTACCATAATGAAAAATACTTAGTTGCCATGAAACCGAAGTTGAGATAGATAAAAAAAAAAGAAATATACATGATTGAACTGTTCACAATAAGATCTATAATATGCATTTGGAAAAATAAAATGAGTTTAATCACTAAATTAATCATTAAAATCAATATACTTTGCCACATTTATATTAAACGACATAAAATGCACAACACTGTAAAAATGATTTTTAAAAGTTGTATTTTTTGCATCAAAACATCTACATCAAAATTTCACATTTAGTTAAATGCGTTACTTTTCTTTACATTTCTTTGTAATTACTTGTCTAATTTAGTAGTTTCTGTGTGTAAATAATTTTTCAACCCTCTACATTGCGAGTAAATGCCGTCGCCGTCGCTTTGTCTCACACACACGCAGACTGATAGAGAGAATTGAAGCGCTACATGTAAACGATATTCTTTGTTGTATTTTCCTGTCAAAATAACAGCGTTCCTTTGGAATTCTTCAGCTTTTAAGAACTGCCGGGTTCTCCGGTAGTAGGCGGAACTAATGCGCAAACGGCAATCTCATTGGCTGGCGCTCACCTATTATCGTCCCTGTTTTGATTTCAGCAAATCAGTTCGAGCGAACGCACACAACCTGATTAATATTCATGAATCCAGCAGCTCATTAATCCTTAGTGCGTTTTTATATTGTTCTTA